TACACACACACACACACACACATAGTGGTTGGTGCTCTTTAGTGTTTAGATGTTATTGAACAACTCTCCTCACTTTTGATTATCTGCCATGCAGCTTTGAGATAATGGGAATTTCAACCCAACAGTACTTGTGGCTCTGAGATTGGGGAACGGTTTAAAGGACATTTCAAAGTCAGACATCATATCTAAAAGTCTTGTATCTGAATTCAAAACCCACTTTACAGACTAAACAGAGCAAACTGCAGCCTTCCAGATGTTACTGTATCACAATTCCCGTCAGGTCTAATCATGATGTTTAATGATGATGAAGATGGGAGTTGTTGCCCAGCATCTGGTGGGCCTTATAAAATTATTCTGCCCATTTGACACATGTGATCTGTAACTTTTAAAAACCATCCAAAACAAACCTTGATTTTGTCACTTTATAAACAAGATACCACTTTACTACACCTTTTCAGTCCTTCAACCTGGTACAGGTGCCAGAGAAAGAGAAAAAAAGAGAAAGTCAAACATCACAGATTCTTTCTGTGTTTCTCTTCCTTCTCCAACACCACCTCTTCTCCTTTTTCCTGATTTCTCTTTCACACACATACATGTACTCATGTTCACAGCCATAGCACTATCCTAGGAGTAAATGTCACAAGCCTTTTATGAAAAGGCCAAATTAATAATTAAAAATAGTGTCTTGAAAATAGAGCTCTAATTGAGAAACCCGCACCCCAGATTCCACATTCCCAGAATAGGTTGTCGTGACTGGAAGTGGAGATGTTCACTACATTTCCAACAGCTCTTGAGATAGTCAAAGAATAGGGTGTCTAGCTATTCCACTCTGAAGTTTGAAATATTCCTGATTATGTTACAAACATCTGGACAATTACAGTACTAATTGTAAATATTCCTGGTTTGTTTCTGGAGGAAGTGAGTATTTAGACTTTAAATCTACAAACAGAAGTGTATTGTCTTCCTCTACCCTTAAGTCTTTTCAACCAAATGCCATAACTGGACTACATTTTCCAAAGACCATATTTTTCAAATGAGCCTGCAGTGCATACTTCATGATTGCAGCTACATTTGTTTTTTTTTTTAATGCATGCATTTATCAGTATTGTTGCCTCACCACTTCCAAATTGCTCGGGAAGTTTCCACTGCAAGAACTGACAAACAGAGAAAGTTTCAGCATAGAGAAGTTTTGCAGGAATTCCAAGAATTGACATTAATAAAGTCTGCCTCAATCTGATCCATCCCAGAGACTGGTCAGTTATTACCTCCCTATGTCTACAAGCCTGTATTAGCCAAAAAAAGTAAGGAAAGAAAGAAAAGAAAAGAAAAGAAAAGTTGTGTCATAAAACAATGCACTACTATGAATTGTTTATTGGAAGTAGGCACCACTAGGTTCAGTTACATTTACTTATAACTAAAGAATCAGGGGGTGTGCATTTGGAAATGTGAAATGTTTGAATTTGGATTTGAACTGTGCACAGGCAAATTGCACATTGTATCCATTTTAGGCAATATAATAATAATTTTATCTTTTTAAACTAAAAAGTGAATTGTGCAAGGCACTTGTCTCTGATACACAACATGCTTTGTTCCTATTTACTTCAGCATTGCTTGAGTACTAACAACAGGACATGAGACAACAGCCAAGGCATAGGACAAGTCAGCCTTTGAACCATGTGGTATTTCTCCTTCACTATTTGGTGATACAGTTTAAGTCTTATTAAAATCTAGTTATTGTAAAAAGGAATTAATCATAAGAATCTTTGGAACTTGGAAATTCCAAACTTTGGCCAACCCAAGTTAGACCAAACATAAAATGATTTATTTTTAAAATGCACAATTGCCCATTCTGTCCTCCCTCCTTCTCATGGCTTGGAAATAGACAAAGCTGACCAGCAGTAGTAGAGCTAGTAAGTTTTTCATCTGTTGTGAGAAAAGCTTCCCAAGTAATCTATTTATTTCTAAAATAATTTATATCCTTATGTGTACAATCAATATATGAGTGCATAAAACATAGGGGGGGGGGAGACAACGGGTTTTTTTAATTAAAAAAACACACAATTGGGAGAAATAGATAATTTGGCTCATCATATACAGTGGAACCTCTATTAAGTGTCCCAATTTAAAAGTGCTTTCAGTTCAGAGCTGTCGCTTGGCCCTGGTTTTGCTTTGACATAAGAGCAACATTTTGAGTTAAGAGCTAGCACCAGAGGGAGCTCTAGTGTGAGATTGCAGGGCTTTATGGCTTCAAGGGAGCTGCCTCTTTGTCTTGTGCTCTTGTCTGCTTTGGGAGATTGCTGTCCACTTTGCTCTTGTCCTCTTTGAGGAACTTTGGGTTACTTAATTTTGTGTGGGTTTTATTCCTGGTATGTTTGGCTTCTTGAAGAGAGAGAGAGAGCAAAAGAGGGAGGGAGGCTGGAATGAGTCCAGAATGAAGAAAATATTCTTCTGCCTCTTCACTTTGTGCTACTACCATTTTAAAGCTGATATTTCTTTTTTTTATTGTTCCATATGAATGTGCATTTATATATTATTTATTTATAAAGTACATTCTTTCAAAATTTAGAAACACGTAACAAAATGGGAGGGGACGGAATGGATTAATAGCACTTAAGTGGGAAAATTGCTTTGAGATAAGAGTGTTTTGAGTTAAGAGCTCAGTCACGGAACAAATTGAACTCTAAAGTCAAGGTACCACTCTATATGCATGTGTGTACACATACACTCATATATAGAAATGTATAGATATACATCAAATTTTCATATTTTAAAAAACAATTACACAAAACTACACACATGCATATATACATGGACCAATGCAATATTACCTAACATTTACACAGTACTTATATTTGACTTCGTTCTTCCCTCCTCTCAGCCCTCCCGTTATGGTGCCTTCCCATTCTTTGGGCTGGAGACGTCATACACAGTCCTGTGCTTCCCCCCATTACATTATTTTTCTATTCTAACATTTGCCTACTATTTCTATTGCATCGTTTTTCTTTGTATTTTCTTTTGCATGTACAGCACATCTTACCATCTTGTTTGACCTCTCTCTCACACACACACACTCTGTCTTAATGAGACATTGAATTTGAGATAGCCTGAGCTTGAAATTTTACTTTTTAAAAATAATTTGTAACAGTTGTATTTCAGTAGGCTGCTGTAAGTTTTCCGGACTGTATGGCCATGTTCCAGAAACATTCTGAAATGCTTATGTTTTTCAAAAACACATTAAGTGTTTCGTTGCTCTGATTGTTAACCAAATCATTGTGTTTTACTTTTTAAAAATACCAGCTAAATGCAACATCCCACTTGTCTTCATCCCTACTTTCACAAAAGAATACAAAGCACAGCACAAGTTAGCACTTGAACCATGTGATATTCCTCCTTTGTTACTTAATGAGCTCACAAAGCCCATTTACTATGAAAGTAACCAAAATGTGTGTTGCCAAAAGAGTAAAGTTATACCTCCAATTTTGGCGAAAAAAGAATTAATTTCAAATAGTAATTAGTTGCTTCCAAATGTCTAGAGAGCCTTGCTTTATATTTGGAAGGTCTGCACATGGCTAAAGTTGTATGTACGACATTAGAATACTTCCTTCCTTGACCATGTCAGTTTGCCTGTGCTATGATGGGTTGCTCTTCTTACCTTTCCGCTCTTAATTGGGGCTGTGGTAGAGGAACAAATTTTCTTTTCTTTTCAGTGTTTCAAATATTTATTGCTCCTCTGTACGTCTTGGTATTAAGCAGAATCAGAAACCCTGCTGCAGAGTTATCTGAAACTTTTACTCAACAGATTTCATCTTGCTTGGAAGAGTCCATGTAAAGCTACCATTGTAATGAGACTTTATGGGCCTTGATATTTATAGGCAGAGAAGAGACAGAACGTGTCCTGTTCTGTGTATAGTCTTGCAATTTATATGTTGGCAGCAGCGTATGATGGGAGATGGGTTCTGAGGCTCACAAGTATGCTTAAGCTTTGTAAATATGTTAAGTTCAAGTTGAAGTGAGGGAACAGTGTGGAATGTTTAGAGGCCAAATCTGACATGGGGGGAAAGGGGGGCAGGAAGGGAGGGAGGGGACCCAACAGGCCAGGGCTAATTGAGTGTATTGTGAAAGCAGGCAGTCTCTGAGGGCATAATGTGACCCATAGGGCTTTCAGTGAAGGATGCTGCTGCCGTTAGTGAAAATTAAAATGTTGCACATGCTCCAGTGTTCAGAATGAGCATTCAGAAAGGCTTCAGGAGCAAAACCAATGCTGGTGGTCTCTGAGCTCCGACACTGCCTTGCTGGCTCTCGTCCGCTATTTCTCACAAACATAAATAATCATAATCCATATAAAACTGTCATATCGGTACAGCACAGACGTCACCAAAGCCCTTAGCCTAATTCATCAAAGATTTAATGTCCAGATGCACAAAGTTACTTTTTTTATAATTCTTTTTTGGTAAGCAGATGCAGTTTCCTGGATTGTCCTGTCATCACCAACAACTTTCCATTGGAAAGATGCATCACATCAAGAGCTCCAAAATGCTAAGAAAGATGAATATTTGAAAACCAAGAATAAACAGTTATTGCTAGTGCTTTGTTGCTTATTAATTACAAAACACAGAGAGGATTTTGGATGTTATGGATACAGCTGTGGAAGAAATGCCATACTCCATGCAAAAATTATAGTTGGGGAATCTTAACCATGGCGAGGACTGGTTTTGACAAGTAGCTCAGCAGAACCACGGAGAGAAATTAAAAGTTTTGTTTCACAAAACCAGTTAGCTGTGCCACATATGACTAGTGAAAATGAGTCTGTGTTCCTCTTTTTAACAAGCCCAGTGTTATCCCTTTTAACATATACCAACATGTACTACCTTTGGCCCAAGTTTGTAACATTGAGTGGTTCTAACAACTTGTCCTTAAAGACCATATGGTTGCTTTTATGTATCTTGTGTTTCTCTCCTTCCAGTGACATACCAAGTGACATATGACTTTTCTTCTTACAGCTTTTTCTCAGTCCTTGGGAAACATTGAACTTTCAAAGCAGAGGAAAGGGAGCTTGACAGAGTCCCTTCCAGCCTGGTGATGTATGGTGTGATTCAACAGGAGTTTTTGGACCAGAAAAATGAATCCCATGGGAATTGCAGAAGTGTTGCACGAGGGCAGCGTTTCCAGTGAAGTGAGGAATGTCACTATCCAGGCATGTGTCCAGGCCCCTGCATTTGCTGAGAAGAAAAATGGTGAGTCCTGTCCTTAACAGATTAGAGTGAAGGAGGGAGAGGGTGAGAATGCATATTGTTGTAAATTGTGTTATAAACAAAAATATGATGTTACTTTTGGGTATACTAGGATGGTTGAGATATTACTTCATCCTTTGGATGATGCCATTCTGTGAAGATGGAATTAGTGAAGATGGAAGCCCTGCACATCCCGTGCTGGTGATTCAGAGAATGGGAGAATGCAGCCAGAATGCGTTCTCGTCTTCAGTTATAACTGTGAGATTTCCTGAACATATAAAGAACAATGAAATAGGAAGAGAGTTAAAAGAATAAAGGAATTGGACAAAACCATACTCTATCAACTTCTGGCTAACTTCTATTCGCAGGAGGATACCCATGTGGACAGAAATCATAGATGTAGCTCTATATGCAGTTGTTACTACCAAATACCCATTAAATAAATGAAGCTTTTATACATGTCGATTCCTTTGATTTAATGGGTTTACACTATTTGACAATAACAATTTGGGCCATAGATGATAATTGAGATAAAACCGTCCTGACTGACTATTGTCTGGAGAGAAAGAGAGATCTGAAATTGTGGGTAAGGATGTTATAATATTTGCTTTCTTGTCCATCTTGGATTTGGCACAAGGGTTAGGTATATCAGGTGGTTCCGGATTTGGCAGTTGCTTTTGGACATCAGCTGGGGTTATGTGCCTCCTCCGGTTAAGGAAATGGTTGTTTCTGCATTCCTAAAAAAAGTCCAAGCTGGATCTTGAAGTTAATAATAACTACATCTAGTTGTGTAATGAGATGATACTGGGCCAGATGCAAGGTGATGTTATTTACATACACTGTACAGCTTTGAGAGCCAGTGTGGTGAAGTGATTTGAGCTTTGAACTTTTACTCTAGGGGCCAGGTTTAAAATTCATTTGCATTTCTTGCTGCCTTTTCTGATCCACAGTTTATTAAAATCTCTATTTTTAAAATCTAATCTTCCTGATTCTGAGATGCTTTGTTTCCTTGCAAGCAAAAATGGTTCTATATTCATAAAATCTTAAGCACCAAGTATGTGTTTAGTATGTATAAATGTATGGCAGTTTAAGTCTGCACCAGAACTTAGTGCTTCCCTATACCACAACTAAGGAAGTAGATGTGTCCCTGACATTACTTTTTAAGAAATAGGTTCTTGCAGCACATAGAAGAATTGTTCAGTGTGTTTCAACAAACTTTTTGTTCAAAAGTAATGATATTCACAGGTTAAACAAAACCATAAGATCAGGTAAGCCTTACATAAGTAAACAAACATGCCATGAACCTTTCTAGAGATCAGTTGAAGGCTTCTTCCAAAATATATCCAGGGATTATTTTCTTTTGTCAGTCTCCATTTTTCTTGCAAATGAATAAATGCATGCCTCCTTGTTTAACATGCTGATATAGTAGCAGACTTTATTCACCTTCATTTTTTTCTGTTTTGCTGTTTTGTGGAGACAGCTGTTGTGGACTTTGCCTGCTGTAGGTAGTCACGAAGAGCTACAGTAGATTTTCATTCTTTCCCTAGTGCAAGTTTTATTACATTGTTTACTACAGTCTTGCTGAAAGAGTGTGTTTCTAACTGTCTCTAACTGTCCTTTCAGCTTTGATGCTGCTTTAAAAAGCTTCCACATAAACAGGAACATGGAGAAAGGATAAAATGATCTTGTAAAAAGGTATTTCTTTGTCAGAGTCTTTATTAAGCGAGATATACTAGTTCTCTTCTTCAAAATAAGCTGGAGCAAAAGCCTTTAGTCTCTGGTATGTCTGTGCCCTTGGTAAAAAGGCACGATTTACAATGGAAAAGATTAGGGTACATAAGTGAGTTCGCACATTCGCAACAGTGAGAATTTTTTTTACTCCCACCTCTGTACCAGAATATATGAATCGGGTAATTTCAGTTTCATGTCATTTCCAGTTCTTAATTTGTTCTGTTTCATTTCCATTTGCAACTGTTTTTAAAACAATTAGCAAGAAAATCCACATATGATTCTTCTGTTAATGTTCATTTTGTACACATTTGCCCAATATACACCTGTTAAAGGCAGTTTCCCCTATCCCTTTTTTATACTTTTAAAAGCTTTTTTGTCAACATAGTTTATTTGAAGAATTTTACTGGAAAAAAAATGAGGTTTTCTTCTGGTTTATAAATTGATTCAGAAAGTGAATTGAATAAGTATTACTGTCAGCACGTGAACTGAACAGTATTGTTAGCCATCTCTTATGTATGGGAGGCCGTGAGGAATGAAATAATTAATGGGGGACATATTTATAGTAGGAAATCCAGGTTCACATCCAGACTTTGCTGTGGGTCTTTTCAATGACAATTCTATCATACCTTCTGAGAGAGTAAGTCTCATTGATCCATAATAGGATTTATTTCTGAACAGATTTTTATGCTTCAACAGTAGCATAATTGCTACTTATTTCAGGGTCATCTCACACCTGCCCAAAAATATTTGGACTTCAAATATTAAAAACTTCCTGAGAGTCAAACAGTCTCCAAGGCTGTTTCTGTCAGGAAGTTTTTAATATTTACTCTTCCTTGGAAAATTTTAGGCAAGGTTTGGATGTCTACTTCTCAGGGATGCATTGGCTGTGATTCCTCTTGCTTGCAGGTACTTGTGTGGCAATGCCTTAGGTATCCTACCTGCTCTTTGCTTCACTGAATGCAGGATATGATGTGAATGGATAAGTGCAGATAATATGGCTATTATTCAGCATGCCTGAATGTTGCTGGTGTCACTAGTTCTTTCCATGTGATCTTTCCATGTGATCTCCCTTTCAAAACATTAATACTGTATGTACCAACCATGATTCGCACCTTTCTCATTAAGTGGTGAATGGGCCCTGTGGTGACCGCCATCTAAACCTGAGCAAGCGGCAGGTTGGTATGAGACTAAATTACCTATTGAACAACTTGGGTGAAGGGAAAGATACAAATGTGGTGAAATACATCCATCCAGTGACATATTTCGTAACACGCTTGAGTGAGAGACAGGGAATTGTAAATGTCCATCTGGTTTGAATTTAATGTAATGTGCAGAAAAGGTTGCATGTTTTCAAGGACCTATGCCTAAGTAGTAGATTGTACCACAGTTTATTACACAAATGGAGCTTTTTATTGCTCAGCTTTGTTGAGCTGCCAGTTGGGATAAAGAACACAACGTACCGCATGGTCCCTATCAGCAAAAATTAGAAAGCGTTCAGTTCTGCTTAAACTATGAAGCATCAGGGAAACTTGTAATTAAATGCAGAGAATTGGATTTGTGCTGGACTTTCTGGTGTCTTTAGATTAATAAATGCTTTAGAAAAGTCTTATAAGTTGATTGATTGGAAAATGGCAAAGGTGTGTGAGTCCAAAAGAACAACTACCCATTCCCAGTGGGTGCAGAGGATTTTGACTAATTTGGCCTCAGCGAGTGCTTATTTCCTAGGTAAGCTGCCACCGTTGCGTACATGTGTTTCAATTTAGATCTATATTGCAGTGCTTATTAAATGATTATCTTGTCCCAAGATCATTTTAGCCTTTGTTCCACATAATCAGATAGTAGGTGTGCATACAGGGAGATTTTTCCATATTCGTTCTGGAGTTCAGAGCAAATAAATACTGCAAACAATGTATTGAACTCAGGTGACAACTAATCCCCTGATGAGATACTGTCCCGCAGCCTTGAACTTTGCAGCCAGGACTTTAATGCCACTTAAATCAGAATGTAAGAACAAAAAGAATTCCAGGAATGTGGTGATATAAACTGTATTTTTAGAGCTGTGAATGACTTGCGAGAGCGAGAAACAGCATGGTGACTAAAGATAGCACAAGTCAGTTTTTCCATGATTTATCACTAGAACTTTCACCCGAAGGAAAAGTCATTTAATGTTGCGATAGCAGCACACGCAGGCTGGCAAGATTTCAAGTCAAGTCATTCATTGCATATTTTGTCACGGGAGAAATTTCCATAACACATGCTACAAATTCAAACTGCATTTCATTTGCATACAAGTGCCATGCCAGAGCAGAATCTAGAAACAAAAACAGACATGGTTTGTAAATCTTCAGTGGCCATTAAGTCTCCATAAAGACTATAGAGCAGTCCAGTTCATAAATATAACCCCACAACTCCAATAAATGAAAAACTTGAATCCTGTAATTGGGTGCTCTGATTCTAAGGTAGATGTCTGATGGTCCTCTTCAGAGGGCAAAACAGACCTTTGTTCTGAAGCAGCCATCAGATCAAGTGATAGAAACTAGTGTCTCTGAAATACAGTAGAGTCTCGCTTATCCAACCTTCGCTCATCCAATGTTCTGTATTATCCACCACAGTCTGCCTCCTGCCTGGATCCACATCTGTTTCAATACATTGTGATGTTTTGGTGCTAAAATCGTAAATACAGCAATTACTCCATGATGTTACCTTGTATTGAACTGCTTTTTCTGTTGATTTGTTGTAAAACATGATGTTTTGGTGCTTAATTTGTAAAATCATAACATAATTTGACGTTTTCCTTAATCCATCATTTTCACTTATTCCTTATTATCCATCATTTTCACTTATCCAACATTCTGCCGGTCCATTTATGTTGGATAAGTGAGACTCTACTGTGCGTACTTGAGCAAACTCACAATCATTCTGTGTTGTGTAGTATACCTGTAGCATATAGATGTAAACAAAATTGTGAGGGTGATACAGGTGAATGCTGGCTCTTAATTGAAGAACCAAGCATGGTGTGTTGCTAGATCTGAATGTAAGGAGAAACATATGCATCTTTTTACTTATGAAACTCAGCTGGTGACTTTGATTCATTCAAACTATCACAGCCTAGCCTTCTTCACAGGACAAGGACAACTTTGTAGAAAGGGAGCAAATATACTTTGTGCCTTAGCCTTCTTGGGGGAAGTGTGATTAAAAATAAGTATTTTGGCAGAAATGTTTTCAATCTTTGATGATTAAAGATTAAAATATCATCCTTGATTAAAATCCTG